AATTTTAAGTATATGCGATGAGTAGTTGCTGAGAAAACTGCGACGAAAATTTGTTACCGACAGACAGACAAAAAGACAGACATACAGACACACAAGGGTAAAACAGTATACCCCTTCTTCTCATTCGGAGCGGGGATATAATAACTTGTTGTATGTATAAATCATCGTACTGACCTGGAAAAACAACATTACAGTCAAACTTTGCTATCTCGACCTCCATGGGATCAAGAAAAAACCTCGAGACATCGGAGGATTCGAGATATTAGGGTTAAAATGCATAAAAAAAGAACTGGGGACTTCCATCTTACCTGGACATATCAATGGTATTAGAGATATCAATGTTCGAGATACCTATTAGTTTAATTGTATAATTGTTTTATTATTTGATTCAATGATTGAATAATACAAACTTGTTAAGCTAACATGCAACCTTTCTTGTTTACATTTGCTGAAGATAAAATAAAAAAAATATATATATAGTTCTATTAATTTGGAATTTCTGACTCTGTATTTTTAATACAATTTGAAAAAAATATCAGGCACGTTGCATCGATTTTGAAACCTGAGGGGAGAGGGTGGGGGTAAAAAAAATTTCTAAATTCCAAATTTTATTTCATGTGAAGGGATGTGACGGTACATATTGTCGTTCTGTTCGTATTGTCGTCGGTGGCAATATGTACCTACCCACATTGCACATATTGTCGTCCATCGGTATACTTATTGTCGCCGGTGACAATTCCTTACTTTCCTTCTGCATAATGGACGATAAAGTTAATGTACAGTCAAGCATCGGCACATGCTGTCGTCTGCGACAATATGTACTGTGAACATTTGCAAATTTTGTCGCCGATAAATTATTTCATACAATTATTATTGTTGTTTTGAGTTCAATACGATGATTTAGCCACCTGAACCCGAAGGGCGAGATGAATATTGTACATCAAAGATGGCTAAATCATCGCATTGATCTCAAACAGCAATAATTGTTTTGATATATAATTCAATGATGAAATGATATAAAATCATTAAGCAGTTCATGCCATCTTACTTGTTACAAGCCAACTGCAATGAGAGAATCAGTGTTAAATAAACGTTACCAGTCGTATTAAATTGGATTTTTTGAAATCAACTCCAGTTGCTATGATAATAAAAGAAATAATGTCAGGCTCTTTGATAGGATCGATTTCGGCGGGGGGGAGGGGGGGGGCAATGGGGGCATTATCAGGAGAAAATCTTTGATTAGCCCAACGAAAATAGAATTCTCTTTACTTCAAATTTTGTTTGATGTTTGGTGGGGTTAGGGGTGGGGTATTAAGAACCATTAGTGAGGGACCAGCCTTTCAATGAACGTTTTTATTCTAATTGAATTAAAAGTAAAAATTTACGTTCAGGAAAAAGTGTTGGGGGGGGGGTCCCTTCCACCCCAAAACCATCCCCATCCAAAATTATATATTCCCTAATGTTATGCTCACCTGAGTGAAAGTCGGTAGCAAGTGAAATAGCTTTCCAAAACTATTGGTATCGAGAACATAAATCCTTATATTCACCTGGAAAATCACATGCATGTGAATATAACGTAGTGTTTTTTTCTTCTTTGTTGAATCTCAGCCAATAGGAGATATGAATTATTCAATTGTGTAATCATAGCGAATATTTACTAGGGCCGTGAAGAGATTGACAAACACACTCACACAAACACGCACGGAGGGAGACAGACAGACAGTAGAATTACTCGCAATAATGAAGGGAGAAAATTTTGTGGTAAAAATTTTTTGTCAAGGATCGGTGTACACGACTATGATTTACAAAGATTTCAGAATTCCTGAATATTCTCTTTTGTCAGTTGTCATTATATAGAGTTTTTGAGTTCAGTAGTAATATGTATCTTGATAATATTTTTTGCTATTCTTATACATGTGCCAATGTAATTATGGATGGTGGTCGGGGGGGGGGGGGGGTTCCACATTTTAGCTCACCTGAGCTGGAAGCTCAAGTGACTTTTTTAAATCACTCTTAGTGGAAAATAATCAAGAAAAGTCAAAGATATGGTAGAGTCATTAAAATCTTTTCAAGAACCACAAGACCAAAAAAAAGGTGAAACTTGTATGGAAGCTTCCTTACTTGGTGTAGATTTTAAAAGAACTGCAAAGCCATAATTAAGGAACCGTACTAAAGTGGAAAAATCCAATGGTAGAGACTAGAAATATTCATTTTTTATCAAATCACGTCCGCTGTATATAGGGTTGGGTCACAAAAGGCGATCAGAAATTTACATCCGAATACATGTACAGTGTATAGGGGGGATCTTAATGTAGAACAGCAGGCAAAGAGTTTCTCAGGTAACCCATGTGGCTCATGACCCTTTTGATTAAAAGTCTTCTCAATAAACCTGCTTCCATAGAAGCTATAGCTACATGTATGTGATATTGGTTAAATCTTCAAAAGCATTGGATATCAATGTAAGTTAAATTAATAGTAGGATGCAATTAATTTCGATAGATATTTCAGACATTTTAAATTAAAGAGATATTTCATGTATGTACAACCTGTCTTCTAGCAAGCCTTCTTAACTTTCCTCATCATTTTCATCATTAGCATTATCTTAATATGTGCATTCAGGGTACTCAAATTTTGTTGTATGCCTGCAATAAGATAGACCGACAGACGACAATATGTGGAGTTATGGAAGGTACATAAATGTCGCCGGTGACAATATTATACTGTATCAAAAAGGAAGATCAAAAAGCCTTTCCACGAACATTTTACATGTATACTTAACCGATAGTAGACATCGTTCAGAAAAAAGTGCCCCCCTTCCCTCTACGGGTGAAATAACTTTTCAGATCTAATTTTATCCATTAGGAAGTTCTCAATTTATTTTTTAGTCCAATGTAGACAAAATTCATGAGCTGCAACAACGTAGCCCTCTCCGATTTTTTTTTTTTTTTTTTTTACATCAGATGAAAAATATTGAAGAGGGCTACATTATTTCAGCTAAAAATTCATATTTTCACCTGGAAAGTCACGTGCAGGTGAACTTAAAGTTCATGTTGTATTTTTTCTATAATGTTGGATCTCAGCCAATCAGAGAGTTAAGATTATTAATTCATATAATAATAGTGATGGCCTTTGCTTTCTTTCATACTATTTTTTCTTAATAATTCTTGTAATATGTTCCCTTTTTTCCAAGACAAATCTCCCACCCTTTTCTTTATAATTGATACATTTCAGCACACCAAAGTGCTTGCTGGGATCATGACATTTACAATTAAAGTTAGTAGTTAAAATTATTTTCATATAAAAGAATTATAAGGCTTGTAACCTCACACTCATAACCAGATATCATTGAGATGGTGGCCATCTCAAAGTGCCCCGCTTTCAAAACCGAACATGAAAAGGTAAAGTAGCTGAAAAGAGTTTACTTTGAAGAGGAACATTTGTGTACTATTAAGGGATGTGTTGTTCGAGTCTAAAGGGCTTCTATGTCATCCTTGTTATAAAAAAAAATGGCATAAAGATCACGAGTGCTCCATACCCTCTATCAAAAGACAGCACACAAATCACTAATGTTGCATATCCTCTATGAAAATTGTTGCATATCCTCTATCAAAATATGGAAGGAAAATCACAAATGTTCCATACCCTAAGTCAGTTGGTAAAGTTTGAGGCTAACTGGACTCAAGGGAAAGAAATTATGCACCGAACAAAGATTTTAGACAGAGAGGCTATTTTTGACCTTGACCCTTGACCTAGAAACTTTGTTCAAGGTCACTGCACATCAATTGACCAGTGGCACTCTGCGAGTGAAGTATGAACCACATTGGACCAAGGGGAGAGAAGATATGCTCCGGACAAGGATTTTTCATATAATTCTGCTATGACCTTAACCTTAGACCTAGAAACATGGTTCAAGGTCACTGCACACCCTTTACCCAAAGACACTCTGTGGGTGAAGTATGAGCCAGATTGGGCCAAGGAGATAGAAGATATGCTGTGGACAAGAGATCTCGGACGGACGGACAGACAGACCGATTACTATACGGCGCCCGCAGAGTGGAGCCCTAATTAATTAATAATATCTGGCAACATGCAAGTAAAGAAATTCTGCTGAATATTTTAAAGTACTGTATATACTCCTTAAGGATACTATAATTTCATGAACCTTTCTCCTTCCACACAGGCCAACATTGATATTTGTGAAAGCATAAAGTAAACAATTCAAGACAGTGACATGTTTTATTCCATTCTTTGCATAGTCATTTCATCATGAAAACATTTGTACATACATGACTGTATAAAGATAAGGAATTATTTTCATTGACTGATTTAAAAATTCTTTAAATTCTCAATATATGAAAAAATATTCCTTTACAACTGTTTCTATCAAAGTGCTTAACATTAATGAACCTATTAAATGAATGCATTACTTATTGAATGATTATTTGATAAAATGCTCTATTTAACTTCTTTACTTATCTAAAGAAATATGCACTCTGATTTAACAAAAGTATATAAAGATTTATACACAACATAGTTTATATATATACCTTTCAAACACTAATTCCAAGACTTTCCCAAACTTTCTTCATCTTTAAATCAAGAAATATTTTTTTTATTTCTCATGCTCCAATACATAAGTGTATACTAGTACAACACAAATAACAGAGACAAAAATATTGTTGGACAATCTTTTTTTTGTATATTGCTGCATTGTACTTTACACAGGTACAGTCCTTTTTCTTGCAATTTTAAGTATAATCATAAGCATTTAATGTCCAAACAATAAAAAGCTGTTTTGTTGGTGTTACACAAGATGTGATGGTTTTTTAACATTGCCCTTGCTCTACATGTATACATGATGGAGGAATTGTGATACAGGGAACACAGTTGGAACAAAAGTCATGCATGAACATGCATTTAATATAATTAGTAGGCAAGAAAATCCATTTCCAGATCTGTGTTGTCGCTGACAACTTGACATAATATTCAAAACTCTTTGAACTTCTTTTCTTTTAATCAATGTCTTCATTTTTTCTTCCTATATATTGATTTTAATTTTTTGATGGTAGTGCTTTGGGTGTTGTTATGTAAAGATAAATCGGAAATAGGCAGTCCTCTTTTTTCCCCTGTTGTTTGATGTTTTTAGGTAATATCTGAAAAGAAAGCATTGGTCATGAGCATTTAAAGCAATGTAGGAAATATCAGCAAAAAATACAACTAATTGCCAATTTTTGTAATTGCACACCCCGCACCCGAGATGTAAATTGCATTTGGCAGTATTCTAAGTTTGTCAAATGGCACAGAGTATTTGTGAAATACCAACTACAAAATCATGATCTTAGTAGGCATTCAAATGATAAGCATATTAGAAACTTAAATATTATAAATCTCACAGAATGAAAAGACAACAAAGATGTCCATAGGACATGAATGCCCAGTCGCGGGTATATTAGTAATGCAACATTAAAAGAGCTATATAAACCCCCCCCCTTAAATGTCATATTTTTAAAATTTCTTGAAATGTCCTGAATTGTATATATTGTATGAACTAGATGTGTCGAACGCCATGAATGCCTCTGCAGTTAATTTCTTAATTTTTTCTAAGTTCAAGAGAGATAACTTTGTCAAAAATCATCGGACCATGACCAAATTTGAACTTGACCTGTATTTTTTGGTAAAATACCTGCACATGCAATTTCAACCTTATATATACATCCCTACAAAAGTAAGAGAGTGGAAACTGAACATTTCTATTTTTTCTAAGTTCAAGAGGAATAACTCTGTCAAAAATCATCGGACCATAACCAAATTCGACCTTGACCTGCATTTATAAATATATCCATATGTCAAATTTGCGTTGAATGTGTGCAACTGTTGCAGAGATAATGAATGGGAAGTGAATGATGATGGAATGATGGAACAGAGTAACACTATATTCCCCTGCCCATTTTATGGCGGGGGCAGAAAAATCAGAATTAACAAAAAATATCGTGGTTTCAAAGCAGGTCATTGGCAATTTTTGTTTCTAGGACACCACAGATTATTTAGATTTTGTGTTATTTATCAGAAAGAGGACAAAATGTACACAATTTGTTCAATTTTTACTCTAAAATTTAAAAAGCGCAAATCTGCTCCATAACAATATTAACATATTTCACTGATACAGTCCATTATCATCTTACAAAAGTTATGGAAAATTTGACTATAGGTCATCTTCCTGATGTCATATCTAACATATGATGTCATGGCTGATGAAAATATATCCCCCTGTTTTAGAACATAATTATGCATTTCTCTGTCAAAGTTTGATTTTGGGGGCATTAATATCAATTGGTCATTATCAAATAGTAGTGTATGAATTTTGACTTTTACTCGACACTCAGGGCCAATGAGCAGTGAGGGATCTTTATAGTGCCAATGCCTGCCGTGACACGGGGCCTCAGTTTTTAAGGTCTCATCCAAAGGACCCACAACTTTCACTTCAAAGTGCTGATCGCATGGCAAAGGAACAGTTGCTACCCATTTTTTTATCGACTTAGGTCAGTCGCAGCCGAGATTCGAACTCACGACCTCCCGATCACGGAGCGAGCACTCTACTGATTGAGCTACTGTGAACGGTCTTCAAAATTGAAATTGAAATCTAAAAAAAAAGATATAGTTGATAAATTCTCACCAAATTCTGTTTAAGTGTATAAGCTTATGTAGAAATATCTTAAATGCTTTCTTTCAAACTAAGCAAAATACAAATTTTAGAAAGTGAGGTCAAAGGAAAGGTTAAAGTAAAAAAAGGTTGATGCCCTTCAAAAGCTTACTTCATTTTGTATCAGCATATGAAGTTTGATAACACTGTCCAGAATGGTTTCTTAAAAACTGAGCTAAATACTAATTTAAGAAAAGTGAAGTCAAGGTCAAAGGAAATGTCAAGGTAAAAAAAAATGTTGATGCAGTTGAATAGCTCTCATCAGTATGTATCAGCATATGAAGTTTGGTAAAAATATCTTGAATAGTTTCTTTAAAACTGAGCTAAACACTTATTTAAGAAAAGTAAGTCAAGGTCAAAGGAAAGGTCATGATCATGAAATGTTGATGCAGTTGAATAGTTTTCCTCCGTGTGTATCAGCATATGAAGTTTGATAAAAAGATCCTGTCATAGCTTCTTTGAAACTGAGCTTTAAACTGTTCTAAATACAAAGCATAACGGAAGGACAGAAAGACGGAAGATAGACATGACAAACTCTATATGTCCTAACCATATTCATGTATTCTGATGCAATGTATTTAAAGACTCATCTATAAATGTCTTTATAGTACTGATACATGTCCCCCAAAAATGGCTAACCAGTAATCTGAAATGAAGAACTTTGCGATCTTGCTAAAAAAAATAATAATACAGTCAGGGTTTAACACTAAGGCACGTCAGACCAACTTGGTTAAATGAATGGTATGGTTGTGTGCAATGTATGTGAACTAGACATTTTGGTCAGGTTGATAACTGTTAAATCCTTTTCAGTCTTTTGAATAAATATATACAAAATTGTAAAAAAAAAAATTATCTTATTTGTACAAATGTAAGCACAACCTTTGCTCTACATGTTGAAATCCCTTCATAACACAATTGTTATTTTTAGCAATAAAATTTTTTATAATATATATTTTTAGCTGTAGTAGACAAGTCTGGGTTGAAACGTATCAATTGATATGGTATAAATACTTACCAAGTAAAACTTTCTGTATTTATTAATATTTAGGATAATCATTTTAGTAAAGTTTGTTGAATGTCTTTAAGGCTCATAATTTTCATGTCCCAATTAATGAACCAGACTCAAAATGGCTACTCTGTCAGAATCTTGACATGCATGAGAGGTAGTTTCAAAAGTTACCAATTAAAATTAACAATTATAAGAAGTTTGGTCAGGGCAAGTGATTTTATGGTTAGTAATTCAAATTATGGAAGGTAGCCTGACATGTCTAGTACTTGTTAAAATAAATGTCAAACCTGATACTCAAACCCCGTTATCTCGAACTATCCATAGAACTGTGGAAAAACTTGGAGATATCGGGAAGATTCAAGATGTTAAGGGCAGTGCTCCAAGTCACACTTCCTACCAGGTCGCTAAATGACGACCTAAACTTTTTTTTGGTCGCCATTTCAGAACTTCTGGTTGCAATAAACAAATATTTCACTCGCCATTGTGAAAACATTTTGTGAAAACACATTTACATGTAGCATATAGTAAAAGCAAGGAACAACACTCATTTATGTACCTACAATGTCTTTTTAAAATTTATCAAAGATTACTTATTACTGTGACTTAATAATTTGCTAGGCTGAAGAAACCACTCATGAAATAGTAGTTCATAGAACCACCAGTATGGTTGTGCAATGAAGAACACAAGTGTTTTATCCTAGAATTAAAATTAATGCAAATGAAATTGTAGCAAGTTTGCCTGATGCATAAGTTTGAACTATACAGATCTGACTTCGTCAGCTGTTTGTTATGTTTATTTTATGAACCTATGTGTTAAACAGTTGTTGTCCACATCACCAAAACATGATGATATTCAAGCTATATTAGCCAAATGCTCCATTAACAAGATCAGGTTTTAAAAAGAATACAACATTTTGACAGCTGTTCTGTTGACTGTACAGCATGCTGGCATATCATTACGTAATCTCAGTCTTTGCGACGCTTAACAAAGTTTTAGGAATTTCCTCAAACATTTTCTTGACAGAGAAGCTTGGGAAAAAAGTAATCTTGATCCCAATCATAAAAATTGACAATCGCCAGCCCAAATTTTCTCAGTCGCAATAATGCGAGTTAGTTTTAATTTCCAGTCGCAAATTTAAATTTTTGGTCGCAAATGCGACCATTTTAGTCGCAACTTGGAGCACTGAAGGGTAAAATACTTATTAAATATAATAAAAGATTGGGACTTAAAAATTACTGACATATCCACTGTATTCGAGATATCAGTATTCAAAATACCTATGTTTAACTGCAAAATCATGTATTCTGTAAATCAACTATTATTCCCGACAATTTTTATTCAGGATTCTTTACCCTGAAATCCATCTGCAACAGTAAGCATTAATTTTTCCAGTGAAGGAAACATTCTACCATAATACAATAGTTGTCACAACTTATGATTGGTTTGTGATGAGAAATATTTCTAGTAAGTAATGAAGGTTGCAAAAATTGCAGATCTTTCTTGCAGGCAAGTTAAAGTTGATTTACAGTATATCATGTTTATATACTGAACTTTACAGGGTATAATAATCAAATCTTACCATTCAAAGTAATTTAATGTTTCCCTAAGTATGACATCTTCTTTCATCAACTGCCATCAGAAGTTCGAATACTTAAGCCAGTTCCAATGTCCTCCTTTGCAAACCCTGGTATTCCATGTGAACTGACATTGGGTCTCCATCTGATTCTTAGCCACTCCAATTCTCCCCATATCTTCAAAGAGAAAAAGAAGTCAACTCTACCTAAGATCAATAGCTTCCTTAAGCTGAAGTCTTCTTAAATAAAAGATGATCTAAAAGAGGTTTAATATACAACAATGCTCACTTGAGCCATTTCAGCTCTGCTGTTCTTCAGAAACTTTTTTATCTCCATGAAAAATTGTGACCTCATAATGTGACCTAACCTAGCTCCAATAATACTGCATCTTTGCTTGCTTTGTAACATACAAATTAATAATTAACAAGCACTCTGAGAGTATTGCATTAGCAATACTAGTCCCCTACCGCCAAGTGTAATCTGGCTCCCGTTAAGAATTGAAAATGCCATAATTCCGTCAAAAATCAATGAAGCAGGACGAAATGCAAATTTGATCCACAACTTATCAAGGTAAAGTCACATAACAAAAATCAGCTCAATATCTGAAAGCGTTTAGAAGAAAATTGCGGAAAACCCTTAAAAATTGAAAAGGCCGTAATTCTGTCAAAATCAATGAAGCGGAACGAAATGCAAACTGATCTGTAACTCATCAAGATACACTCACATACCAAAAATCACTCAATATCTGCAAGCGTTTAGGAAAAAAGTACGGAAAACCAAGTGGGACAGACAGACAGAGGGACAGACAGACAGACAGACAGACGGACAGACTCAGAGGAAACCTAAAACTTATAGTCCCCTCCGGTTGCACCGGTAGGGGACCAATTACTAAAAAAAAAATTGCGGGGGGGGGACTACTTTAACACTTTCCACCACCATACATCCAATACATGTTTTTAAACCCAGAAAGACCAGCAGGGGGAACAACGTAAACATGTGGCATATTTCTCTCTTATAATGTACAGTGGGGTATTTTTTGTGTGGAATGATTATTTTAGGGTTTTACAGATTTATTCCTATGGTACACCTGATAAATAAGTGTAATAAATATAATTTCTGAAAAAACTGGCTTTTGGAGAAATGCATTATTTTACTTCACATTTACATTAAAAAGTGTAATAAATATAATTTCTGAAAAAAAAGTCCAAGTCCTAAGGGAGGGGGGGGGTCCTATCCATAAGTACCTGTGCTGTTGACTTGTGGGGAATAATTTTCACTTTTTAGCCCTGTTGACTTGTGGGGAATATTTATCACTATTGACTTATGGGGAATATTTATCACTATTTATCATTGTTGACATGTGGGGAATATTTATCACTGTGGGCTTGTGGGGAATATTTATTATCATTGTTGACTTGTGGGGAATATTTATCATTTTTGACTCGTGAGGAATATTTATCACTGTCTACTGGCTTTTGGAGAAATGCATTATTTTACTTAATATTTACATTAAAAATACAAATTATTTTTTCAATAAATATCTACCAAATCTAAATTTAAAGAATCAATCATCATATAAATGTACTGAAACTAAATAATGTTCATAAGTCCTCTAAATCAAAGCACATTAAACATGTTTGATATGCTGCATATAGAGTTCCCTTAACTAGATTTTAATTTTTTCTTGCATAAAACTGTTTTCAATTCAGAGCTTATAAGTCAGTCTATGCGAAAGTTTTTTTGACCACACTGGACATTCAGTCCTGTGTAATTTTTAATTAATGCAATGAATACAAAGGAAAAACCTCTTAAGTATAGGCCCAACAGCTTTTCTTTTACCAGGGATCGCTCCCACATAATTCTGTAGACAGTCCATGTGTCTTAATGATGTTTATTTATGCATTTGGAATTGTATATTTTCTACTTATAAAAAAAAACGTTGAAATGACTGCGTCGAAATAGTTAAGCTCAAAACCAAACTCTGAGACATCAGACATTCCGGTCCGGTGTAAAAATAACACATCAGGCCAGAGGCACTGTATCCAGGGATAGACATTAACTTTCAGATTCACTTGCCCTTTGGGCAAGTGATCTCAAACTTTGACTTGTCTCAATGCAAAACTTGGTTGCCCAAAATTAGGAAAGAACTTAATAAGCAAAAAATTAATTTCTGTAAACGTTATGATAAGAAAAAATGTGATCAAATATCAGTATATACATGTATACCAGTCAGTGAAAAAAAAAAAAATGATGCTGCATTTGTACATAAATGTATACAACTGTACTTGTAAATTTAACCTTCTAACACACACTGCCATGCAGCAATAACCATTTCCTTTTAATTTCCTTATACATGTAATAAAATTCATATTTTAAAAAAATTATTTTCGGTAGGATCCTTTTGTGAATCGTGATTTTCAGAGATAACTCTGAAGCAACGCTAAAGGAAGATACATGTAGTTGCTACGAAACATACATCTTATCTTGATCAGGATACATTATGTTACGCTGTACATACATTCTGTGCGTGAATAAATAATCTAATTTCCTAATAAGAAGTTAACAAAATATTGTTAGACGTAGAGCTTATTTACTACAAAGGAAAATAACGAACCTGATTTTAAAATGAATGGTATAATCCAGAAACGCTACCAAGGAAACATTGTCAATCAGGTGCGTGGCGGAAATCAAGTGTTCAATTTATTGTTTTATTAATAAATTAATGTAATCTAAATAAATATGTGCATTTGCATGAACAAAATCACTTGCTCGATCGGACAAGTACTTTGACAATTTCACTTGCCCAAACTGAGAATTTACTTGTCTCAGGCAATTGGACAACCATTAATGTCGATCCCTGGCACCAATTGATTACTCTCCATTATAATCAATCATTTATTAGTAGATATTGTAAAATTTTCTGATAATTCAATATTTATCAACATGGTTATATCTTCACAAAGAATTTTGGCTGAAGTAAGTCGGAGGTTAGAGTGATCTGTTCTGAATGAATCATGGTAATATTGTTACCCTCATCATTAACAACATATTTTGCAATGGGTAACATCATATAAATAGTGCTTATTTTTTAGGGTAAAACAAGAGGCCCCTGGACCACAATGCTAACCTGAGTAACTTTGGCCCCGCTGTTCTTCATCTGATTTCCCCCCTTGTAATACCTATTGTGGCCCCGCCCTACCCCAAGGGGTCATGATTTGAACAATTTAGAATCTTCCACATTAGTTTCAGCTTTTTGGTTCTTGAAAATAAGATTTTTAAAGATATTTTCTACATATTTCAATGTAAAACTTGGATTCCCTATTGTGGCCCCGCCCTATCCTAGGGGTCATGATTTGTATAATTTAGAATCTACACTACCCAAGGATGCTTCCACATAAGTTTCAGCTTTTCTGGCTAAGTGGTTCTTGAGAAGAAGATTTTTAAAGATATTTCCTACATATTTCAATGTAAAAATTGGATTCCCTATTGTGACCCCGCCCTACCCCCGGGGGTCATGATTTGAAGAATTTAGAATCTACCCTACCCCAGGATGCTTCCACATAAGTTTCGGCTTTTCTGGTTCAGTCGTTCTTGAGAAGAAGATTTTTTAATGACCTCACCCTATTTTTGTCTTTTCTTGATTATCTCCCCTTGAAAGGGGGCTTGGCCCTTTATTCTTATAATTTAAACTCCCCTTCACTCAAGAATGCTTTGTACCAATTTTGGTTAAAATTGGCCCAGTGGTTCTTGAGAAGAAGTTGAAAATGTGAAAAGTTTACAGACTGACGGACAGACAGCTAGAGGGATGACGGACAACGGGTGATCAGAAAAGCTCACTTGAGCTTTCAGCTCAGGTGAGCTTAAATGACATACTGAGAGAAAAATATTTTCAACTGATGCATCAGTATGTACACTACAGTGTATTATACAGCTGAATGTCTGATTGATAAATAAAACAAAAAAATTCTACATCAGAATTAATTTAAAAAGGCATTTAAACACTCTGCATAGGTTTTTTATGCCAGTCCTATACCCCAAGGAATCATGATTGAAAAAAAAAAAACAAAAAAACTTGAGTCTACCTGAAGATGCAACCATATGAATATGACTAACCAAGGTTTTATTTTTCTTGAACAGTTAATTTTTATTTAAAGATTTTTCCTATGTTTTTCTATGTAAAACTTTGATCCAAAATTGTGGCCCCACTCAACCATTACACCTGGGGTTCATGATTTGAACAAACTTAAATCTGTGGCAGTGCTACCTGAGGATGCTCCCATATGAATATGACTACCCATGGTTTTGCTGTTCTCGAGAAGACATTTAAAGATCTTTAGCTATATATTCCTCTGTAAAACTTTCATTTCCCATTGTGGTCCCGCTCTACAAAGGGGTCATGATTTGAGCAAAACTAAATCTAAGGGCAAGAGAAAGAAAAACCCCTGACCCTAGGGCCATGAAATTCATAATTTTGGAACTCAGGAAGAGGCACTTTGCTCATTTAAAGACAGACGATACGTTCCTCAATATATATAATTTTTTCTAAGATTTTGTCATTGAAGTATTGCTACTTTAACATGTTTACTCACAAAAAATTAAGGTACCTTACCAGGCATTTGTGCAAGATACCAGAGGATGTTTTTCCTATAAAGTCCTCTTGGGAAAAAACTCAATTAGCCAATAACACATTTTTTGGTCTTTCATTTTTTAAAGACAATTAGAAATCAGTTTAGAAATCAGAAGGTTATTAAAATTTTGAATATTTTCCACATAATTCGAAGGAATACCAAAACAGATATTTGAGGAATGTATCGTCTGACCTTAATAGTCTGTCTGTTTAATACCCAGGAGAAGAAAAGATTTTCAAAAATATTAAGGAATTTTCACTATATAAATTCAATAGACAACTCCATCTTCAAACATAAGAGCTGCTGACCCTGGAGCTACAAATTTCACAGATCTGGAAGAGGTACCCTTGATTAATATAACCATGGGCTCAGTTTATCTGCTTTATACCGAGAAGCAGGAAAGATTTTCAAAAAATTAATGCATTTTCACTGTATATTCAATAGAACCATGCCTTAGCACCAGAATCCCGAACCAAGTGGCCATGATATTCACAATTTTGAAAGAGACACTGTTACTTATCATAACTATGTACTAAGATTGGTATAAATCTGATGCACATGATCAAAGAAGGAAGATTTTTAGAGAAATAATGCATTTTCACTATATAACCAATAGGGCCCTGCCCTAACACCAAAACTAATGACCCCTTGGGGAATAAAATTCAAAATTATGGAAAAGGCAACTTTATTCATCATAACCATGAACTTCGTATTGTTTTCAACACTCAGGAGCAGAAAAGAAATTTTCAAAGAAATAATGCATTTTCACTATACCTGTATTATCCATAGACCACACCCTCCAACCTCTCATCCAGGGGCTATGAAATTCACAATTTTCAAAGAAGCACCCTTGCTCATTATAACCTGCACTTAGTTTTTTCACCTTAGTAATCAGAGACAGAGAAGAAGATTCCCAAAGAATTAATGCATTTTCACTATAATTATCACTAAAGCCCCATCCTAACACCACAACCCAAGGGCCATGAAATTAATAATTTTGGAAGAGGTGCTCATCATAACTTTGTACTTCATATCCAGGAGCAGAGAAGAATATTTTCAAAGAAATAATGCATTTTTACCATATTTAATCAATGGAGCTCCACCCTTACACCAGAACCCCTGACCTTGGGGCAATGAATTTCAAAATTTTGACAGAGGGCTTAATGCTTATTCAACCATAGCAGCAATTCAACTGCTTAATTTCCAGTAGTAAAAAAAAGAAGATTTTAAAAGATTGAAATAATTTTAATAAGTTTAGCCCTATCCCTCAGGCCAAAGGGAGGGGGGGGGGGGTGGCAGATATAATGAAATTCAAAATTTTTATTCCCCTTCATCATACTAGATATTGGTTGAAATTGGTTCATCAGTTCCAGAGAAGAAGCTAAAAATATTCAAATGTTAAAGAAGGATGGACAAAAGCAGATAGCAAATAGGTCAGTGAGTGACTTAGGTTTTCATTTGAAAAAAGGGCTAAAATTAGCACAGAGTTAATTGGAGTTTCCTTTCAAGTAAGATCGATTGAAAACAAAAAAAGTGCATTTCAAAGACTGAATAACCATAAGGTCAGCAAATGAAGTCAGTGAATGTTTTTTTTATGGTAATGGAAGCATAGATTTCAAAATGAGAACTTAAATGATAATTGTTTACTTATGATCTATTACTGTAATCTTGACTTACCAAAGCCTTCTGTCACCATACAGAAATCCAGACAGAATGCATTCAGTTATATACTTGTATCCTCCAATTCCATGCAGAGTTGTCTGTTTACACATCTGCCTCTCAGTCTCCAACATTTTCAAGAATAAAGTCACCTTAAGTTTGCTCTTGTTGTGAAAACTCCAAAATCTGCAATAATAGTTTTGCTCTGCATTACACAATTTAATTTAATTTTTTTCATCAGTATATGTGTATATTTTTACCCATGATTACAAGAAAAGTCTACATCACTCAACACCTGATTTTTGACCCCAATAGCAAATATAATTTGTTAGTGCTCTCAATACAACTGACCTTGTCTCGACACACAAGAACAGTTAAGAAATAAAATATATTATTATACTTTCATGTTAAATACTAAAATCTGATTGGTTTAAACGCATTTAACAATCCGTAATGTTACCCTCAGCGTTAGCAACACACTTGACAACGGGTAACATTAAGAAAATATCACATGCGTTCAAATCATGCGCGTACGGTTCACCGTAGAATTCTCAAAACGTCGGTTGTGCGTTTGAAAGAAGCCGAATTAACGACGTCAATAAAAGCTTGCGTCCGATGTAGCTTACTTGAAAACAACAAACGACAGACGAAACATCCTTGCGAGTGCAAAGTTTAGATGATAAAGGACTTTTTGAGTAGCAAACAAGCAATAGAGAGGTTGGTAAATCTTTTCCGAAGCTTTCTTATTGAGAAAAATAGAACTGGGGAGTTTGAAAGCTTTCTAAGCGTGAACTTAACGACGATCTCCGAATTTTTTTTATGACATCCGAAATCAATAAGACATTCAGTATAATAAAATAAATAGTGCACGTTTTCGAGGGTAACAGTTGAAATTGACACCCCTCGGAAAACCATTGTCAACCTCCGCTGACGCGTCGGTTGACAATGGTTTTCCTTGGAGACAGAGTGTCAATTTCAACTGTTACCCTCAAAAACGTGCACTATTTATATAATATGTAATCTTTGCATCAACTTAGATAGTTTTAAAAGACATTTTGCTTTATCTGGAGGGGCGAGATCAAGTCCGACATCTGGGATTGAATCATTCATCTTTTTTGTACTGTTTAAACTTTTCACATTTTTTTAAAAAAATACATGTACTGGTATAATTTAAAGATTGTGACCCCTTGAACTTTTGAGATTTCAACCTTTTCTAAAAAAAAAATTTGAAATATTGTTCATGTCGATAACAAATAAAGTTGCAAGACTGGTGCAAATTTAAGTATCATGTACACAACAGGTCTTCCTGGTTCTTCTTTTCTTCTTCAATGAGTACCTATATGATGATCACCATCAATTTGAAAGCAATTGAGTTCATCAAAAGCAAACATTTTTATAGAGGTGGGACAAAACAGGTAGATCTTGTGATATGATACGTATCTCAATACATAAACAAGTAACATGATATGATATGTATCTCAATATTATAATAAATATATATGAAAACTATAAAATTAAAACTAGAGTGTTTCAAGGAACACATGTGTCGCCTGCTCTGTAGCTTCCTTAAAGGTGACAAAAATCTAAAATTGGTCAGCTTTTTATTTACTTTTAGCATGATAGTTCAATACATGCATTTGCCTGCAGAGAAAAACTGGCACCTATGGATAGTATAAGACTCTGATAGAATCTGACAATCAAAGAAAATATGGTTCTTTAACCCTCAAATGAATAATTTAATTGAAATTAATTAATTATTAGAAATATCTACTTATCATTTTATTAAGACATATTTCCAACAATTAATCCTCCAAAACAGATTTCAGTCTGTCCTTACTGCAATTGTCACTCTACACGATCCATGGTGGAATACCGATCCCAATGTATTTTCATTGTAACTATTTACATATGTGTTAACTGAATTTCAGGCCTAGATAATAAATTGTGGGTTTCCGGTTCCCCATCAACCCTAAAATATATGAGCCGACCCTGAAAAATTTATCCGCGGATATCTTTCCAGAAGTAAACAATTCCTCTTCACTATTAGAAATCCCAATCTCGATCACTTCGGTGTTAAAATAAAATAAAATGTTTTCCCTACCTACCTACCCTATTTTTTCTCGGGTTGGAATAGGAAACACACTATTTATTTATCTTGGCCTCATACATTTTCAAAGTACATCCATTGTGGAATAACGATCCCGATGTATTTGCATAGTATTTAATTAAAATATGTGGTAACTGAACATCATACAGATTCAAATTACAGTATCATGAGCTCATAAACATGTATAAATGCTAATTATCAAAATCCTGTCTCTCAAATTTCAGAAGTCATAAATTAAACTAAACTTCCCGAGGTATTTTTTGCTGGTATTTTTCATATTGTGTTACGACAAACATGCTAAATGGCATAGAAATACCTCTTAAATGTCAAAAATATGCTGTAAATCAGCCCTATGAACTACATTGTATTTTGAAAAGTAGGTCAAAGGTCAAGGTCAAGAGGTCGGTAATCATGGTAATTTACAAAAGCCATAGTGCCTAGCAATATATGTGCAAAATATAAAATCCATACCTCTTACAGATCTTGAGATATAGGGTGTGACAGAAGGACAGACAGATGCCAGGTAAAGTGATCTCTTAGTGCCGCTCTGCTCTGCAGGCGATACAAAAATTTAGCATTTCATTTCAATGTCTTTGACAATAAATCAAGATTCTATATCAAATCAAATGTGCTTTGAAATTGATACTTGAAGTTCATCAATTTCATTGACTAAAAATTTACAAAACAATATTCCAGGGCATATTTACTACCGATATTCGGACTTATTTTTCAAGAGAAAATTTCCCCTAATATCCCATTTTCCCCTTTTGATGAGTACAAAATTCCCCTTACAATAATGAAAAGCACAAATAATTTTTTTTCCTTCAAAAAATTTTCATCAGATGTGAAATATGGTATACTTTGCTATTTTATGCACTCTAAATGTCATTAAAATGCTGAAATTGGGCCCCCCACATGGCCGTAGGAACCGGGGGGGGCATGGGGGGGGCATGGGGGGGGCCATGCCCCCCCAATAATTTTGCTGATATATAGAACACTATAGAAAACATAGCTGCTACATGCTTGTGCCCCCTCAATAATAACGTCTGATGACCTTTTTTTTTTTTTTTTTTTTTTTGCTTGTCAGGGAATTTTGGTAGTTGATAGTGCCCCTTCAACTGAAAATGTATGGTTGTGCCCCCTCAAAGTGAAATTGCTTCCTACGGGCCTGCCCCAGCAGGGCTTGCCAGTGAAAGTGGCCCACAGACCCCAGCTGATTTTCCCAATTTCTCCAAAAAGGGTAATTTCCAATTTGTTTCAAAATTTCAATCCAAGCTTTGTTATTGGCTGTTAGTGCAGATGGCCACTAACAAAATAATATTAACTGTTGTTACGATTAACTGTTAACGATACTTTTTGATGCTTTACATACTGAACTTTTCTCTGTACAGTACCATCTTCCGAGGATGCTCAAGAGTGAAAATGTTTTCCCTCTTATCTATGACTTATTAGATGTAAAGAGTGTTTACAATATCAATATCATCTCTTCACTTTGTACAAGCAGCCATTTTCAATTTTTTGATAGGTCGTTCATGTATCGTTTCGTACCGATATTTCAATGCATGTATCATAAACCATAACTAAGCCAGAAAATATCAGTATGTATTGGTTTATCGATATATCATCCCACCTCTACATTTTAAAAAATTAATATTTATATATAAGATTATAACACTAATGTACTAGAGACATAATTTTGTGTCTTTAACTGAATTTGAACCCATCCCTGGCATGCCAGTCCATTGTTCTATCAATTGAGGTACAAGTTTAACCCACAAGCCTAAGCCAGTATTAAAGAAGCTGTGTATCATACACTACCATACCAGGGTTCGACACTAACTTTTTCAGGCTTTAGTCCAGCCGGACAAGTGCTTCATTACATTTAGTAGTCCGCACGCGATTTTATTAGTCCGTCAAAAAAAAAGAAACATCAATGTTTTTAACAATAATTTAACGTGACAATTAATATACGTATTATTTTTTGAAATAAACAAAGTATTTACGTGAAATATATTATACCACAGATTCATTGAAATCTCGCAATCAGCAATTACGATTGTTTTCCCGATCTCGTTTTTTTTTTTTTTTTTTGTCTTTACATTACATGCAGAACGTCCAACATCTTACTTAAAAGTGTCATACTAAATCATGATCGCTAACACTTTATACTTCATATCGATCAGTCGGAAAAATTAAGCGCTGAATTGACCTGGCTTTTGCGTAACTACCCACCACAGCTAGAAATCTAAAAAATACACACGGGGTTTTCCAGTAAAAGTTGTCGAGAATCGGACATCGGTAATTTATTCATATTGTTTTTCAGTTTTTATTGGTCCGTTCGGACTAATTAGCCACATATTTTATTAGTCCGAATGAAAATGTATTAGTCTGAGACTAACGGACTAACGTTAGTGTCGAACCCTGCATACTAACACAAGTATATAAAAAAAAATAACTGTTTTGAATCCTTAGTTATTTAATAATGTTCCGTAAGTGATTTATCATCATGCTCACTTTAAGCTTTTTTTATTACTTGTTCTGAAGGGGAAACACCTTCTTTAGCAGGGTTGTCCCTAAGAATTGAAATAGCAGGGGACATTTAAAAAGTAGAGGGGTTTTTCGGGTTCCTCCCTAACGGAGGGGTTGAGGGGGAATACCAGAATAAGCGGGGGATTACATCATTATAGGTGGGGAAATTCCCCGGCCCCCGGATTTTAGGGACAACCCTGTTTAGATGCAAATTTATAACTACAGTGAAGCACGCTTATAATGATGGAAGTGCAAGAGACAGATGAGTATGCTTTGTTATAATTTATTTTACATATATGTATTAAGTTTACAATATATTTTAAAGTCACTGGGATTGTAAGCGTCAATTCATTAAACATGTTTGTGCTTTACTGTAGTGCTTTTCGTAGGCGCTCGTTTTATAAAGTACATGCAAAGAGGTACAGCGTCCTTTCCCACTATTGAACATTTTCAGAATCTCAGACACCCGACAACATGCAGACTTTGAACTGCAGACTTTACACTTAAGGAAACATGTCAAAAGAGTAATTTGAATGATACATTCGAGTATATTTTAT